CCTGCCTGGACTAAATCTACCAGGTTGAACTCAATCCTCACGGGAGTCTTTGCCCTGGAGGAGATGGGAATGGGGGGTGGGCTAGAGGGAAGGAGGAGGAGCGGAAGGGGGGAGAACAAGGCCATCCGTGGTTGATATGTAAAATTAAATTTAATAAATAAATTTTAAAAAAGAATGTAATACTCAATCAAAAAAACTGTGTATGATGCACAAGTTTTTTTGTCATCAGGTATTTTTCTAAGCTTCAATAACAATTGTTTATAATTTTTTTGTATGAGAAAACCTCATACAAAATTTCCCATTGTACTCCATGAATTTGAATTTAAATGAACCAACACTGAACAGAACTAAGATGTTCGAAATGATAGTGTTGAAATTGAGGGAAGAAAAAAATGACACATGCAAAAAAGAAAATGTCTGCTGTAGTACAGAGATTGTCCGTGAACCAAATTTTGTATCACAGTATTCTGCATCTTTATAAAGCGAATGTCAACATGTTTGATTTATAATAACTATGCCGTATGAAAAAGATAACACAACCCTTGTAAGGTTGATTTTTTATCTTTTTATTATTATATTGTTTTATATTCAATGACCAATTGATCATATTTTATTGATCTTATTGTGCCTTTTTAAAAAATTAATTCTTCAGTCGGGCGATGGTGGCGCACGCCTTTAATCCCAGCACTCGGGAGGCAGAGCCAGGAGGATCTCTGTGAGTTCGAGGCCAGCCTGGGTTACCAAGTGAGCTCCAGGAAAGGCGCAAAGCTACACAGAGAAACCCTGTCTCGAAAAACCAAAAAAAAAAATAAAATAAAATAAAATTAATTCTTCTATATTCCATTATACTGCTCACAGTAGGTCAAGCGGTCTTGACACCCTGAAGTAAACTTGAATTCTCAACCAGCAATAGACTATGCATCAAATATTCAATTTGGCAATGGGTCTACATTCTTACAGGACATGGTCTTGGGGAACTGATTACACAGAAACAGACATAAAATGACAACTTCCTGGATGGCATTGCCATATTTTTGGGCAGCTCCTTGAACATACATATTTGCTCACCATGCCTGATATTGAGATGTATATCTTGAAAAATGTCAAACAACTTCATGCTTCATGTACCTAATACCATTTTCATTGGCATGTGCTGAGTCCACTCTAGGAGTTTCTCCATGTCTTATACGGAGATCACATTATATTTTACTGAGCAGCTATAATTGCAGGATGACTTCTCCTTTTTCTTTGTCCTATTAACTTGCTTTATGTTTTAAAAGTATGTTTTATTTGGAAAACACTATGTAGTTACAACTTTTGCTTTCTACTAACTTTGCTGCTCTTGTAATTAAATTTTCTACCACAATACTTAAGTCCATTTCACTTATACATGAAATACCAAATGGACTATTTCTAGCTCTCTGGATTCAGTGGGACATGTTATACATGTTCAGCACTGTAACTCTGTACCAGTTCTTCTGTAAAGCTGTTATCCATGACCAATCATGGATTCTTTGCATGTTGAAACTACCATAGCTACTGCTATGATTCTCATTTGAATCTAATTTGTCTCAGACCAAAGAGCAGCTTAAGGGATGAGATGATGGGGGGTTCCAAGAATAAAGGCATGTCTGCGTAAACAATGTGAAATGAATCATGTAATAAGTAGTAGGCAAGACCTCACATTTAATTAGACGAATTCAGCTTTGTAGTGAATAAAAGGTTTCCTACCCCCATTCCTTGGAGGTCTGTGAGCAAACCTGTCTGGACTTAAGCCTGCATTTCGATAAAAACTCAAGCAGCCCATGTGAATTTCAGCGCTCTGCAGGCAGTTGACACTTTGAGAGACTTAATGCCATGAAAATAGACAACAAGTTCTGTTTCCAGAAATTGCAGTACCATTCTTCCTTAGTGCAGGCTCCTCTGCTTCTTCCACAAGAACAGATTGAGGTCTGTCCTATTGAGTAGGTGGTCTTCTATCAACAATACACTGCAGCAAGCCCATAATCATGTCCTGAAAAGCCCCACCTAGAACATTTGGCTCTAGTGAATGAATTAGCCAACAGGTAGGAATACCAGTGGAAGAATGTAGACCTTCTCTAAACACACACACACACACACACACACACACACACACACACACACACACACATACACACACATATCCTACAACTTCCCAAGTTCTTCTGGTTTTTAAGATATCCTGAAGGTGTAATAGATTCAGTGGCAGCAGCCTCAGAATGGCAAATCTCATTTTATTTTCTATTTCTCTAGTTACAGCCACACTTCCAGACATGCTCTCCTCTTCCTGCTTTTCAGTTTTATTCAGCTTGCACTGATTTCATCTTTTAGTAAGTTGGGCTATTTTTTACTTTAATTTTTGCTGCTAACTTCACCATAACACAAGAACACTTTCTTTACCAGTGGTTTTACTGGGAGACCAAATATCAATCAAATATAAAACATGCTAGGTTAAACTGAGTTGATTCAAATGATGACTTTGATTCCAGAATAAATCTGGTTAAGCATTGCCTTATTGTAGAATTGCCAATGCCTGCACTTGATGAGACAAATGTTTGATGGGTTTGCTAATTTGACTTTGAAGATTAATCGGGTACTTTGTAGAAGACTAATAAATATGTAAAAAGAAAATAAGAAGTTAACTCTGAAAGTAAAGACTCCACCATTTTAGCCGGGATAAATCTGTCTTCATCAGTGGCAATCACTGAGATTAATATTAATTATAATCAATACACTGAAGACAGATTACTTCTGTCCATTTATTTCCCTCTGTCATTTATTCAAACAGCATCACAGATCTGAAAGGGGAAAACTACTCCCTGTAAGAAAATTGTTCACCCATGTGAGGTAAATTAACTCTTCCAGACACAAGGGTATCATTTGGTAAATGGTGTCTCTTTGTGCTTGAATTGATAACCTCGTGTCCTTTAAATGCTCAGTCATTTCCATGGTATTGGACATGGGTAGTGACATCTCTCTCCATTTTCTTCCTAAATAGAATTTCATCTTTTAAAAAAGTATTTCTGTTTTTAATTATCCTAAGCATGTGTGTGTGTGTGTGTGTGTGTGTGTGTGTGCATATGTGTGTGCATATGTGTATGAGTGTGTGAATGTACGTGTGTTTTGTGTTACTAGAGTTTGGACCTGGGGCCTCACACATGCCAAGCTCCATCACCTGAGCTATGTCTTCAAATCTGAACCTCAGTTTTAAAATAAAACTGAAACAAGGATATTTATTTCATGTAATAATTGGAGCACAAACAAATATTAGGAATTTTTTAATATTTAAAATTTAGCAGGTAAACATCTATAAGAAAAAAAACTAAAACTAGCAAAACACTTAATACACATTCTCAAAACATGAAACAAATGTGATTTTATGTATTTATTTCTAATGCATATCAGATATACATATTGTGAATCTGATACTGTAATAATGAAAGAAGCTCATGACAAGTTATGATGGATACTCAAGTCCTTTTCACAGAGCTGGACTGATATATTTCAAATTGATAACAACATAGGCTCTCTCCCTTGTACTACATAGGTCCTTTAAAAACAGTAATAACCCTTTACTGGTTCTATTATTAGAAATATTTTCTTGTACTATAATTTCTCTTAGAATCAAACAAAAATTGTTAGCATGACTCACTAGACCCTGGGTGACCTTTTTTCTACTTAACATTCATATCTAACACCTGGTTGCATCAACTCCCCATTCAAAGTGCATTGTGGTGGTTTGAATAGAATGTCCCCTATAGGCTCATGGATTTGAAAACCTGGTCATTAGGGAGTGGCACTGTTTGAAGGGATTAGCAGGTATAACCTTGGTGGAGGAAGTGTATCACTCATGAGGAACTTTGGTATTTCAAATGTTCAAGCCAGGTCCAGTGTTTATATATTCCTGCTGCCTTTGGATCCAGATGTAGATCTCAGTTACCATCTCTACCTGAGTGCTACCATGTTCCCTGCTCTCAGGGTAATGAACTAAACCTCTGAAAGCAAGCTTCAATTAAAAGCTTTTATTCTGTAGAAGCTTCCATTGTCCTGGTATCTCCTCACAGCAATAGAACTCTGACAAAGACATGCATATAATTCATTTTTATATAATATACAAGTATCTCATTTAGTATCTCTTGTGCTGAACACTGGAATGCCTGGTAAGCAAAAGCTGGTACTGAAAATTTTGTGTTTAGCAAGTGCTTTAAAATACATGCAATTAGCCGGGCGGTGGTGGCACATGCCTTTAATCCCAGCACTTGGGAGGCAGAGCCAGGCGGATCTCTGTAAATTCGAGGCCAGCCTGGGCTACCAAGTGAGTTCCAGGAAAGGTGCAAAGCTACACAGAGAAACCCTGTCTCAACCCCCCCCCCCAAAAAAAAATACATTCATACATTCAATGTAGTTCTATTTTTGTAACTGTAATTCTTAGATTTCATCAAGCACATCGGATGTTCATCTTTCATTCATTTTTATATTTGGGCTCTATGAAGGCTGCTGCCTCTGCCTAGAAAAAAACCACAGCACTCTCATTTTTCCAAAATGTTCTGTCCATTTTATCTAGCTAAGTACTATGGATCCTATTATTACTCAACTTAAATTGTATATCTTCAGGAAAGAAAACAAACTTCAGAAATCTCCCAAACTTTGCTTACATATACAATGTATCTGAGCACAATTACTCTGTACTCTTAAGACTTATTAAACTAGAACCTCCAGAAATGGATAATATCCACAATACTCAGAACTTTATCTTGTAGTTTATACCAACATCCAGAAAATTATGTGGAATATTGTGGCTGTTAGACACAAAAATATTGGAGTGAATATTACGTATTTTAAACATGTCATATTTATATTGGACATGGTCTATAATAGACATCTGAGATCTTTATAATTATACCCATTTTATATAAGATAGCAATATATTCCAAGAAAGCTAAATCTAGTACAGAATTCACTGTGCAGCTCAGGCTTACCTCAAATTTGGTATCTTTCAACTTCAGCATCTGCCTCTGGGCTTATTCATGTTAGGGTCCTGGAGAAGTCCCACAAAAGACCATCATCCACATATGCAATCAGCAAGATCATTTTTGTATTCCAGCATGCTGGGATCGACCATCCCATACAAAGGCAAAACTGTGATGACCTTGAGAGGAGTTCCCCAGGCTTCTTTTAAGCATAGCTAAGGGGCATTCCCAGAGCAGTTAGGTCATTTTAGATGTGATTGGCTTAAGCAAGCAGCAATCATATTAGTGTGTCCTAATTGGCCAGAGCTAATAAGGGTTGGCTAAGGCTACAGTTTTTCCATTTTGGGGCAGACCTGGACAAGTCTCAGGCTCAGTCCTTATTTGGCTATTCGACTGTGGCTCAGAGCTGGCCTGGCCAGTTATTGAATGTACCAGGCCCTGTACTTGTCCTTGCTGTCAGGGGTGTAGGAGACTGATTGTCCTTTGTTTGTGGCTCCCTCAGAAACTGCTTGCTCAGTCTCGGGAAACTGGAACTAAGACCTGATCTCTGACAGAAAACTGAGCAGTCTGTTATGATATTTGCCCAGCCCTCTCAATACACATGTATCACCATGCTCTTTTTCTTTTTGAAAATATGTTTAAGTGATGAAAAATGTTACCAAGGTTCTAAAAATAAAGAATAATAAGTTATTATATGTGGTGGCATTTATGAGGTTATTTTATTTTCCTAGGCACTTCTCTTTGAAGGCTTTCAGTGATGAAGAGAACATTCAGTTTTGGAACTGCCACCCATCTATTCAAAACAACCCGATTGTTAAACAATCTTTCCCAACTAGTAACAATTTAACCCCTCACAAATTCTATCCCTTTAACTTGAGTACACATTGGTACCTACATAGAATTCTAAGATCACATTGTGGTGGAAGCTAATTCGGTGCAGAATAACTCAGCTCACATTTCCCAACTCCAGGAGAATCATTTGTTCTTCAGAAAGGTCTCCAAGCTTTCCACGAATGTCCTTATGTTACACAGCTTCCAACTTTTATCTCCTTGTTATCCTTTGAAGATAGTCTAATCCTCATAGTTCTAATTTACATTGAACCGATGTTAATATTCTTTTTTAAAAACAGACTTCATCCAGACAATTAGTTCTTTCCATACTCCTCCTTTAATAGCTTTGAGTAGCTACTCAGTATGTATGGCTTATTGTAAGTATGAAGAAAATTAAATGCTAGAAGTCACCACTAAGAAGAATTCTTACATTTACCATATTAAAATTTTTATTGAAATTTGTAAAGCCAATTTTTTTTTTCTGAGAGTAAAATATATTGGTACTGTCCAAGAAAGTAGTGCACAGAAGAGAAAATCTGTTTGGTGTGATTCTGACTGTAGACTGTAATAAGGGCTGGAAACAATATGGTGATATTGACTTCAGACTGGGAAGTTTGCCTGAAGACAATGTGGTCCTTGTACTTCGATAGCTTAGCAAACTATCTCAAAAAGACAGGAGAGTCTTTTTTCCTCTCGCTCAAAGCACAGTGTGTCTTCAGTTTAAGTTGGAGGCCCTCCAGTTCTCCTTTCAGATTTAGGAAAATCAAAACACTTCTTATAGAACACATAGAACATGGTGTTCTGACAACGTTCTGTGGCAATCCCCATGCTTTTGAATTTTTTTGTTAAGTGCACTTTAAAATTAAAAGAAAAATGTAGGACTCCAGTTGTGCCTTCACAATGAATCTATAGTCTATTATAGTTTAAGCTCTCAGACTTCTACTTCTCTCGTCTTTTAACATTGAGATTATGGGATAAGATAAATTATAGGTATTAGGTTTCTGGTAAAATCTAGTTTAGGGCACTGCAGGTTTAGCACAAAGTAAAAAAAAATTCAATCTTTTCTGCTGTCATAAAGCTTATTGAAAACTTCTCTTGTGCCATTAAAATTAATGTAATTGCCTTTCTCTCTCTTTCTTAGTCACACTGCCCTTTGCCCAGCTCCTTCAGGTCATCTCCTTCTGAAGACAATGAGTTCCTTCTAGTTCTTTCCATCTAAATTAAAACTGGAAACTAATGCTGCCAAACAATGCCCTCCTAATTCATATTTTACACAAAAAGATCTAATTTTCTCACAAGATTGCTGAATTTCCATTTGGATATTTCCCATACTCTTTATATCACTTAAAACCCATAGCTATAGAAATGTGGAGGAAAACGAGTTCTTCTTTTTGAAATATGACTGAGAAAAGCATTAAATCTGAAATAATTACAGCAACTTTTTGATTTAAGACAAAACTTTGGGGGTTTTATTAGGCTTGAGTGACAAGTTCGGCAGTAATTTATCGGATATTAATATTTAAATGTAAGGGATTACACAGGCTATGCAATTTGGGTTTTAACTTAAAATGTAGTTTCAATACATTCAATATTAATTTAAACATTTGCTTAAGAAAAGGTAGCTTCATTGATGTGCTGTAATATTAAATGCATACGAACGTTTACTGCCTGACTGTCCACCGGTGAGTTAACCTTACTTACCTTAACACAGAGAAGTTTGGGTTCTGCTCACCTCTTCAGGAAGGCTGCCAGTTATGCTTCAGCTGGGGTAGACAAGATATTGGAACAGTAGGACACTCACCGCAGTTCATTGTGGAGGGTCTCTTCGTCTATCCCTCTTTCTTCCCCTTCTCATCAGATAAAAAATTATTGGCTATTATAAACAACAATCAAGTCACGTTCCCCCAAGATGCATCACTGATACTTAGTCGGAATGTAATATAAATCACTTTTATCGAAATGAAAGGCAAGTGATAAAGTGAAATCATTCAAACAGGACAACTTACAGATATCCAGTTCATTTATTTAAGTCTTTCCCAGAATTTTTTTTTTGTTACTGCTTGATAATATGACATACCCCCTTTATTTTCTTACTAGACACAGAGACCCTGCTTTCACTCTTTGGTTGTCAATATCAAAGGTCATCCAGGAAAACATACATACAAGTCACGTTATAAAGACAAAATGCTTTCTGTGCCTTTGGCCTGAGTTTCTTCTACTTTCTATTATTCATAGATTTTGTCTTTTTATTGTGTCCCCAGATTTCCTGGATGTTATGTACCTGAAGTTTTTTTGTTTGGTTTGGTTTTTTGTTTGTTTGTTTGTTTTTCAGAATTAACTTTTTCTGTTTTCTGACTGAAGCATCCATTTTTTTCTATTTTATCTTCGATAACTGAGATTTCCTTTTCCATCTCTTGTTTTCTGTTAGTGAGGTTTGGTTCTGGTTCAAGTTCTTAAATTGTTCATTTCCAGATTTCTCTCAGTTTGGGTTTTCTTTGGTGACTTTATTTTCACTTTCATGTCTTGAATTGGTTTTGTTTGTTTGATTGTTTGATGGTTTTTCATTTCTTTCCACTCTTTGTGTTTTCCTAGATTTCTTTAAGGGGTTTATTCCTTTCCTTTTTAAGGACCTCTATCCTATTCCTAATGGTTATTTTGAGGTCCTTGTCTTGTATTACAGCTGTATTGCATTTCTCGGGTGCTGCTGCAGTAGCATTGCTGGGATCTAGTGGAGACAATTTGTCCTGGCTGTTCCTGATGTGTTTTTACCATGAAATCTAGGCATGTGGGTTTGAGACGATTGTAATTCTAGGTGCTGTCATCTGGCCTTATCTCTGTTGGGTGGGTGTTCTTTTTTTTTTTTTTTTTTTTCCGTTGGTTTCTGTTGCACCTTGGGTTCTGTTCTGGTTCATAGGAGAGTGTGTTGGCTGTGTGGTGCTTGGTAAGGAATTCTTCTCAGATCCTGCCAGATATGGCCACTAGGTTTTTCCAGGTACAATGTATTTCTAGGTATTGAGAGTTGACACTTAGGAATGGTGATGGGCTAGAAGGGTGGGCGAGCTGAGGGAGCCACAGGAAGGAGGAAAGCAGGATGTTCTTCTAGGATCTGTTTAGTCTGCTGGGAATGGAGGTAGAGAGTGAGGAGGAGCCACAAAAGGTAATCTGCTACAGAACTGGGGATAAGACTATGGGATTGGATTTGGAGAGGAGGGCGAGGTAAAGATCTGCAGTTACTCTACCTGGTTCCCTGGCAGGTGGGCTGCCTTGTCTAAATCTTAAAAATGAAAAAAAAAAATGTTCATACATCTGAAGTAAATGACTGCCTTCCTTAAGGTCCTATTGTGATATGAGTGGTATTTTTAAAATAATGGCATAAATTGCTTAAAGAAGAGCTTTGAATTCCAATTAACTGTCAGTGATTGCTTTGGCTGTGGGTCAATTGCACAGATGTGTTCAGAGATCAGTGATTTTGGAGATGGACAAAAGAGAGTATAGCAGAGGCTAGAGGAGCTCTCAATAACCTTGAAGGGCATCCATTTAGCTCCAGGCGTGTTGGAAATTTACTTAAGGAGCACACCACATTTCTCAGTGTTAGAGAAGTGAAGAGTTTATGATCCTTTACATGCTTATATTGGACTATTTCCTGAATTTTCAGTCTTCAGCTTCTTATTTTTAACCTTACTAATTATATTGAGATGACAACCTGGAAAAGAAAATATTTCAAATATTTTAAACTTTTGGTAAGAGCAAAGGATGCTGATAAAAGCCAAATATTTTATGCATCAGCTGTAGAATGCAATTAAATATTTTACCTTCTATTAATTGTATTACATTATGTAGCATTCAATAAATGCAGTCTTTATATTCATTCATTCATTTAGACCTTATAAAAATCCTTTATGATCATTTTTATATTATACATGAGAAAAAGTATTTTGAACTGTTATCCTATAAAAATACTGAGTGAATAATTGGTATAGAATTTATAAAGTGACTGGTATGCAAAATGAATAAAAAAATTCTTAATGAAAAAATAGGAAAAAAAGAAGTTACAAAGGTGAAAATGCAGCTTATTTCTTTTTCTTTTTTTTGGATTTTTTAATTTGTTTTATTTTACATACCAACTAGTTTTCCCGCCTTCTCTCCTCTAGTCCCCTCCCCCCACCTCCTCTACTCCCTCATCCACCCCTCCTCTCTTTCAATTCAGATGGGGTAAGGTCTCCTTGGAAATCAACTAAGCATGAAATATCAAGTTACTGCAGGACCAAGCTCCTCCCCTCTGCATCAAGACTGAACAAGGCATCCCACTGCAGGGAATAGGTTCCAAAGAGCCAGTTCATGTATCAGGGACGGATCCTGGGCCCACTACCAGGGAGTTCATAGGCCCTAT